CGATTGAGCAAATATCCAATGTTTTTTTTATTGAATTATAAGTATATAAGTATATTTTATATTGCTTTCATATGATTATTTATAAGATTTGACATGAAAATTAATAAGTGAAAATAAATGATTTCTTATTACAAGGTTTGTAAAATACTACAAGCAGTCCAAGACCATAAACAAACCCTTATATTTATAATTCTATTACAAAACTAATAATAGCAAACTAAATGAAGAAATAATAGAGGATGAAATAATTTCATTACATGCTAAGTAGGTTGTGCTAGAATAATTATATAGTGACACTGTAATGGATACCTAAAGGTGAAAATATTTAAAAAATGATAAATAGAGACTTTACTACAAGAATGCAAAAAGATTAGTAAACAATCTTTTTACTACAAGAGATGAATACCGCCGCCAGTTTCATGTCGTCTTCTACTTGCACACGAGAGAATTAAAAATCTATGAGAATATGTATGGAAATACTCCGTATATTATAGTATTATACCTTTCGCAAAATCACATACTATTTTACCCGTGCGATGCGCGGGATATGAATATATGTATATTAGAATTAAAATTGCTTATATCAAAGCAATATACTTATAATATAATAAATCTAAAAAAATTATTTCAAATCATTAGATGTAAAATAGAAACTCCCTATGTCCCTATGTACATTAGTTTTCAAGTCAATGACGTCTAACTTTGACCGATTATATGTTTATATAGATAAAGTATTGATAATATGAAAATGGTATGAAAACGTTCGTTGTTAAAATACTATCATAAAATTATAAAATTATTAAATTTTGCATAAATATATTAAATGAAATAATTGGTTAAAGTTGGGACGGAGGTAATATAATGGAATGTATTGCAATTTGTTGAAGTGCAATTTTTTGTTATCCAAATAGCTCAAAGTATATATCAAACATGGAAAAATAATTAAAATACCCCAAACTTTGAAGGGGTGTGAGACGAACATCCTGAACTTGTATATGTAATTTAAATACCACCAACATTATATGAAAAGTTATTTTAGCACCATAGTCAAATCTTATTTCTTTTTTAAAAAAGTAACTTTATGGTGTTATTTGCACAGTTTTAAATATTTTTGCATTCATGAAGACACAATTAGCATTCCTAACTTCTATTGTGAAATAAATAATATTATCCAAACTATATAACTACAACATTTTTAGTTGGTTATTTTCAATTATGCAATTAACATTGATGGACAGTCTACCCGGGGGGTATCCTATCCGAGGGGTTATTGCGGGAACAACTAGAGAGAAGTCAGAGCAAAATAGGAGGAGAGAGAGTCGATTTTATTAAATGAACTCAGCGTGTGGAGTTGAGGTGTAGATGATGTTTTACAAGGAGAAATGGGCTGCTATTTATAGCAGCAATAAATGCGATGAGAGTACACGTGTCAGTAATCCAACGGCCGAAGGGTCACATCAGTCGGGTGGCACCGGCAGTGGTACGTTCACCGCATTGAATGCGGTTGGCGGATGTGACGTGGCATTTAAATGCGGTGGTTGGCTGTCTCCAAAAGGAATCTTCGATGATTGAGCGTGTTTGGCCGAAGGCTCCTCGTGTAGCCGAGGGCTGCATGCAGCCACGGACCCCTGTGTAGCCGAAGGCCCCGAGTGGCAGGGGGCTAAGTTCAGCCGAAGGCTTCCCTAATGCCGAGGGCTTGGTAATGCCGAAGGCTCATGTGTTTCGCCGTTTTCTCCCAGTAGCTTCGTATGTCAGAGAGGGCTACTTCGTGAGTTTCTGGAGCCTTCGGCCAAGGAGGCCGAAGGCACCCCAGTGTGTATTCTGGGCTCCTTTGAAGCTTGGGCCATTGTATTTGGGCCTGAGTTGTTCTCTGGGCTTAATGGACTTGTGTCGGAGAAGTAGGAGTCCATGGGCCGGGGGTCCCTGGGCCATATACTCCATCAGGAGTCCCTCACTCCTTTTGCCGAAAGGTACCTGAGGGAAAAGGAGTAGATGTGTTGATTCTTCCGGAGGCTTCATCATTTAGTTGGGCGCCTTTGTTTGAGAACCTGCCTTCTGCTGATTGCCGAAGGCTTCCTTCAGTCCCTCACACGTCGAGGGTTTTCTGAGGGAAGTATAACACCTGTATGACTGCCGAAGGCTTTCCTCAGTCCCTCACATGTCGAGGGTTTTCTGAGGAAGGTAGATGTATTGCCCGTATGTGTTGTGGTGAGTGTTGCTTCATTTCCGCAAGTGACTCAGGGAAGATTTGTGGCATTCTGCCTCCGCCTGAGGGTGCGATGGTGTACGTATCCGAGGGGTTCCCCTTTGACGTTTTCCCCGGGGGCGTCTTGCGTCGCTTCTGAGTTCTGCATGTGAAATTTTTGTTCTGTGTGTTCCCCGAGGGGTGCGTACCAGTCCCCCACTCCTTTAGGTCGAAGGCAAGTTCGGACCGAAGGAGTTATGATGTGTTGATGCAAACCCGAGGGGTGACAATATAGACAATCCGGGGGTTTATGCTGCCGTAAGCTCGAAGGCGTTTGACGAAATTTGCTGGCAGAAGGGCGTGGTGAGTGATTGCCGGAGGCTACCATTCGAGGGCACCCCAGTGTTGTCGAAATATAGTCGTTGCAATGTAGCCGTTGGAAGAGGGGTTGACGTGGCGCGTTCCCGTTGGTTGAAAGGGGGCGGGTGTCACCCATAGGCTGAGGCGGCGGCCCGTAATGATGGGCTTTTCAAATTGAGGCCCAGTTCTCGAGGCCCATTTGCCTATAAATACCCCGGGTCTCAGCTCATTTGTCCTTGTGCGATTTCTAGAGAGATAGCGGAGCTCTGCCAATTTTTCTAGAGAGAGAAAGTATTCCCTTCGGACAAGGTCCATCCCCGAGGTTAGTTCTTCCATCTGTTGAAACACTTAGCATATTTTTCCTTCCTCCCCCTTGGTTCAGTGTTAGAGTGCCCTTAGGACACCCTTAGCCTTCATCTCTTCCATATTACCGAGGAATGTCGTCGGCTAGCGATTCTCAAGACATCTCCAGGGAGGCTTCGGTGGCATCGGAGAGCCAGTCCGAGGTAGAATCCTCCAGCGTGCAGTCTTCGGATAATAACGACTCCGTTTTTGCCGAGGAGGTCCAAGACACCCTCAGGATCGAGGCCGAGGCCGAGGAATTCGAACAGGTAGCAGAAGATGAGGAGCTGGCCCTCGCTGTTCAGGCTGCCGAGGAGGAGGAAGAAAAGGAAAGGCTGAAGGTGACCGTGGCTGTCTTGCCGGCGCGCAATGATGCAGAGGCCAGCTGTTCCCAGCCCCTGAATCCGGAACCTCTCAGCGTGGCTCCGGGTAAGAGGAAGAAGAAGCTGAGGGCGGCCCCGAAGAAGAAGAAGGCGGCTGCCGATGCTGGGCAGCCGGTTGGCATCCCCGAAGGCCACTCGTATCTTAACACAGCAGCCCTCGACGTAAAGACGAAGGCCGGGGAGGCTGAGTACCTCAAGACCCAGCTTTTAGTGGGGCCCTCGGCGCAAGTAGTAGAGTCGGGGCCTAACGACGTGTTGCTGCATCCTCCGGAGGGTTGCTTCGCCGTGCATATCCTCTCGGTGGAATTGGGGCTTCGCTTCCCCCTCCACTGGTTTGTTTTGGAGTACTTGCGTTTCGTGAAGTTGGCTCCCCGCCAACTGACGCCAAATAGCCACTCCTATTTGGCGGGCTTCCTGTCCCTGTGTCTTAGCCGGGGGGTTACCCCCACATTGGACTTATTCTTCCAATCCTTCAACCTCTGCCGGGGGGGTCATTCGCACGCGGGAGGCTTCGCGAACCTACAACAAATCCCGGAATGGAGATTGTTCTCGGAGGTCCCTTCTTCCCATAAGAATTGGAAAGACCGCTTCTGCTATATAAGGATGGCGGAGAATCCTTTTTCCGTTCCCCTCCGAGATCACTTCCGGAGGCACCCGAAGGTGGGAAATGCTGCCCTTGCCAAGGAGGGGAAAAAGCTGACGGCCAAACCGGAGGGCTCAGATAAGGTGATGAAGATAAAGGAAGCTACCCTCTCGGATGAGTTATACCGCCTCGGTTTTCGGCGATACCGTCTTGCCGGGGAGAAGGACGAAAGATATCCCCTCGTTGACAGGGGCTACCAAGGCGCCGGAGGTTGTTGCCGAGGGCCCACATTTTTAGTACTTAGTAGTTTTTCTATTCCCATGATTGCCACTGTCTAACATCTATTTCCCCTCTCTTTCAGGTCAAGCAATGGACGTCAAGGCCTATGCCGCATTGAAGAAGAAGGCGTCGAAGGCGCCAAAGAAGAAGGATGGGCCGTCCCAGCAGAAGCCAGTGGACGAGTTTTTCAAGAAGGGCGAGGCCCCCCGGACCCAAGGACGCGAGGAGCCTTCGGAGAATATGGCTCCCGTCCTTACCGGTGCTAACGCCGGAAGCTCCCAAGCAGAGGAGCTGAAAAGGAAGCGGTCCGGGAAGGGCGTAGCGCTCCCGGAGAAAAAACTGAAGAAAGTGGAGATCGCCCCCGGGAAAGATGCTCCCTTGGTGGTTGTGGATGACCAGCCTTCTTCCCCCGAGCCCCACATCGGGTGGGTGACCACCCCGCGCTCCCCTGCGGATCCGGAAACAATATGGCCCCGGGAGGAGGTTCATTTTCCCCTCAAGAAGGGGAATGCTGTTATGCTTGGGTCTCTCGACCCTTTGGAGTTTATGAGGGGGGTCACCCCTTCAAAGGACAGGCTTGTGCTGTCCAAGTACGAGGATGATGTCCTCGACTGCAGGATCATGCAAGCTTCTGTCACCGTAAGTTCCGTCGCCCCTTTTTTTTTTTACTCAATTGATTTGCCTTGGCATTCTTCCTTTGCTCATTTTGACCCTCGGTATATTTTATGTGATTGCAGGCTACCATGGCCCTCGGAGAGCAACTCCGGAGGGTGGACAGATTGCGTGTGCAGAAGGCGCAAGCTGACCTCGCCTTGAAGAAGGCGGTTGAGGAGAATGCCTCCTTCCGGAAGAAAATGACGGAGATGGAGGCAGCCCTCCGGGCGGTAGAGGAGGGTATGGAGCAGAGGCTGAAGGAGGCGGAGGCAAAGGGTAAAACCACTGCCGAGGAAGCTGCGAGTGCTGCCGCCAAGCTCGCCGCCGAAGCTGCCGAGGTGGCAAAGAAGGAGGCTATTGCCGAGGCTGGGAAGGCTGCAGTGGATTCCTTCGTCACCGAGGGCTGGAAGGCCGAGGGCCGGAAGCAATGGCTAGCCTCGGTCATTGAGCAATCTGTGGACGGTTGGGTGGCGGGCCCCGGGGCTGAATGGTTGGCCCGGAAGGGTAAAGACTACTACGATGGCGGAGAGTTCTTTACTCAACGCCTCGTGTACCGAAGGCTGGCCCGCCATCTGAAGATCGAGGCGAAAGAGTTTGACCCCGCATCCTACGGCCTACCCCCTCTGCAGCCGGATGTCAGGGTACCCCTCCCCCCGGACGAAGAGAGGCCAGACCTCGAGGATTCTGAGCTGCTAATGGAGGCCGGAGATGCCGAGGAGGAGGCTGGGGACGATGCTACCTCCAAGCTGAAAGAGATTGTTGCCGAGGATGTCCGAAGTTAGGAGTTCTCCCAAATCAAAATCTGTAATAGTTCGTAGTTTCTCGGCCTCGGCCATGTTTTTGTAATGAAATACGTTTTAATCACTTTTCTTGTGGAATGAATGATTGCCCCCGGTCCTTTTGTATGGATGAATGCCTTCGCCTCTTTTATGTTTGTGTATGCATGAATGTATGTTTTCCTTTCTTCTCTCTGGTTTTCCGAAGGCCACAAGTTTGTGGACTTTGTAGATTTTTCCAAGTGTAACTCCTTGCTAGCCCCCGGCCATAGTGTAGTATCACCGGGGGGTCGCCGTTGTAGACTTAGAAAATTTTCTAAGTAAGACCTCATCGGAACCCTTCGGGTGTAGAGTAGAACAACCGGGGGGGCTTGTGATTGTGGACTTAGAAAATTTTCTAAGTGAGAACTTTTGTCGTGGGCCTCCGGTCGTAGTGTAGAATCAGCCCCCTTAGGATGTTCGTAGTAGTAAGGCCGAGGGATAAAATGAATTAGACTTAGGAATTCCACTAGGTGAAATTGCATCCTATGCCCCCGGAAATGCTGGGCCCTTGATTGGCAGTGTAGCCCCCCGAAGGGTTCCCGTCTGTGGACTTAGCCATTTTTTCACGAACTTTTAATAGGTGCTGTAGTGAACCTTCGAGCATGGGAACTGCATGAGCCCCCGGTACATATGGTTGCCGAGGGATTCGAGATTATGGACTTGGTGAAATTCTGAGATGTGTTTCCAACAGATCTTGTGAGTAGCCCCCCAGTTCGATGAGTGTTTCCCAAAGGATGCCAATGTGTGGACTTAGAAAAAAAAAATTTTATCGTTGAATGAGCCTGGTGACATTCTGCCTTCGGTATGAGGCCTCCGGTTTGTGCAGATATAGGTTCAGCTTGCCTTAGAACTTTGCGGAGCCTTCGGCATGTCACATAATTGACTTCTATCCAGCCGGATTTCGGCCTTAGCCAGATTTAGGTGAAGTTTTGCTTAGTGAGCCTTCTTCTTGGGCCTCCGGTGGAAATCTTGTACTCCAAGGTTTCATATAGCGAAGCCTTCGGCTATGTAGTCAGATGACTTGTTGTTGAGAGATTTTCTTGTGCATTTGTAGCAGCCTTCGGGAATAGATATCCGAAGTGTTGAGCCTCCGGGAAGAATATCATCCAAGGAGTTCCTTCCCCCCTACACATCTTTCTCTCTCTCTCTCTTTTTTTTTTTTTTTTTTTTTTTTTAAATGATGTAGGAGAGGCATCAAGAAACTTGGTTTCTAGGAAAGGCTTGGCCTATACGGGAGGCGACGGAATAAACCGTCGGCTCCCCCTTCGGGAATGACCTTCCGATATCCCGAAGGGTTTGAGGGTCGTTTCCTCGGCCCGAGACATCGTCTGTTGCCTGCTTCCCCTTGGGAGATAACACGGAAAGCGCCTCGGTTTTGAAAGTCGTCCCCTCAGCCCGAGACATGGTCTGTTGCCTGCTTCCCCTTGGGGGATAGCGCGGGGAGCGTTTCGTTTGTGGAAGTCGAATCCTGGGCCCGGGACATGGTCCGTTGCCTGCCTCCCCTTGGGGGATGGCACGGAAAGCGTTCCTGGGAAGGGTTTTATTTGTGTGTGGGACACAAATAGCCGGGGGCACTTGGTACCAGCCGGAGCCGAGGGATATTGTACCCCCCGTTTTCTTTTTTTTTTTTTTTTTTTTTTTTTTAGGAGAGTTTGTAAAAGTTTGAGAAAACACTTGTTTTCAAAGGGTGATGGGGGTGACCCATACACTTGGTACTTGGTACCTAAATTGTTGTTCCCCCTCATGAGAGGGAGAGGCCTTGGGCCTATTTTGGTGAAGCGATGAGGGCTTGGCCACTCATTTGTAGGAGAGAAGGGGGGGGGGGGGCTTGGGCCGATTATACAATATGTAGGCGATGAAGGCTTGGCCTTTTGATTATTCTTCAAAAACAGATGGGGCCTTGGGCCATTGATATTTACACTTGCTGAGGATGAGGGCTTGGCCGCTCATGCCTTATTGATAGAATTTGACGAGGTGGTGCACATTCCAATGTCTAGGGACCTCCGTCCCATTGGGACGTTTAAGCTTGTATGTCCCTGGTTTGATGATGGCTGAGATGATGTAGGGGCCTTCAAACTTGGGCGCCATCTTTCCTCCTTCGGTGGGTAGACTGGCCTCCCTTCGTCGGAGGACGTAGTCTCCCACCTGGAATTCCCGAGAGCGGACCTTGGCGTCGATGTAGCCTTTGACTTGTCTCCTATAGTTTTCGGCCCTGAGGAAAGCTTGCTCTCGGCGTTCCGAGATGAGATGAAGGTCGAGGGCCATGTTGGCTTCGTTGACCTCGGGCTCATATTGTTCCACCCTTCGGGTAGGAAGGGTCACTTCTGTTGGAGCCTTAGCCTCAAAGCCATAGCATAGGGAGAAGGGTGTTTCGCCCGTTGCACGCCGAGGGGTGGTACGGTAGGCCCATAAGATGTTGTGTAGCTCTTCTACCCAGCCTCCCCCTTCGGCTTCCAGTTTCTTCTTCAATCCTTCAAGTAGGGTTCGGTTGGCGTTCTCTACTTGCCCGTTGCCTTGGGGGTAGGCAACGGATGAAAAGGTGTGTTTGATGCCCCATGCCTCCAGGAGGGCACAGAAGGGGGCTGCCTCGAATTGAGTCCCGTTGTCAGAGATGATTTGTTGGGGGACGCCAAACCTCGTGAGAATATTTTTGAGAACAAAGTGGCGGCACCGGGCTTCAGTAATGCTGGCGAGGGGCTCGGCCTCTACCCATTTGGTGAAGTAGTCAATGGCCACGATGATGTACCTGTTGTTGGAGGTACCCCTCGGCAGAGGGCCTACTAGGTCGATACCCCATCTGGAGAAGGGTATGGCGGTGCTGATGGGGGCGTAGTTGACCGCAGGTCTGCCGGGGGCCTTCTGAAAGTGTTGGCAAGCGGTGCACCTTCGGGCTATGTCAGCACAATCCCTAGCCATCGTGGGCCAGAAGTAGCCTTGAACTATGAGCCTTCGGGACATGGAGAAGGGCCCCTGGTGAGCTGAGCAAGTGCCACTGTGCACTTCCTCCATCGCGACTTCGGCTTCATCTTGATGAAGGCACCGAAGGAGGGTGCCGTTGTAAGATCTTTTGTAAAGCCTTCCATTCTCGAGGGTGTAGCTGGGAGCCCTCAGTTTTGTCAGTCTCGCGCGGGCCTCATCTTGGGGTAGTTGCCCTGTGGTGATGAAGGTGGTGATGCCGGAGATCCAATCCTCCGGTCTCAGGTTAATGTTCATAATGGGGCTTGCGTGGATGCTTGAGAGGCTGAGCTCCTCGATTCTTGCAATTTTTGAGAGGTGCTCGGGGGATTCATCCGAGAGCTTGGATAGAATGTCGGCCTCAGAGTTTTGAGCCCTCGGTATTTGGGTGAGGGAATGTGCCTCAAATACCTTAAGTAACTCCTTGGCAGCCTCCTTGTATTGCTTCATCCTTCCTTCCTTGGCCTCGTACTCCCCGGAGATTTGACCCACGACAAGTTTGGAGTCACACTTAACGTGGATCATCTTAGCCTTCAGATTTGCCGCCAGCCGAAGGCCACAGAGGAGGGCCTCATATTCGGCTTCATTGTTTGATACTTTGAAGGAGAAGCGGATGGCATAATAGGCGCGGAAGCCTTCGGGTGTGATCAGAACTACTCCTCCTCCGCATGCTTTGGTGGCCGAGGAGCCATCGGTATAGAGTGTCCACCACTCATCGAGGGGTGCCGAAGGCTCCTCGTCTGTTGTTGATCTTGCGGTGCATTCCGTTACGAAGTCTGCCAGGGCTTGGCCCTTAATGGCCGGCCTCGGACGGATATCTATGTTGTATTGGCTGAGGAAGATGGCCCATTTCACCATGCGGGAGGAACTTGTGGGGCTCCTCATGAGGGCGCCGAGGGGTTGATGTGTGAGCACTTGGACCGGATGAGCTTGAAAGTAGTGGCCAAGCTTCTTGACGGTCCAAACGATGGCTAGCACCGTCTTCTCGACGGGGGAATACCTGAGTTCGGCTTCCCGGAGGGTCTTACTGACGTAGAAGATGGCGTGTTGGACGCCGTCTTCCTCCCGGATTAGCACTGAGCTGATGGCCGAAGGGCTAACACCAAGATATAAGTATAAAGTCTCCCCCACCTTCGGTTTGGAGAGCACTGGGGGAGAAGAGAGGTACTTCTTAAGTTCGTCGAAGGCCTCTTGACATTCAGATGTCCATTGGAAGCCCGCTGTCTTTCTCATGATTTGGAAGAAGGGGAGGGCCCTCTCGGCTGACTTAGAGAGGAATCGGTTGAGGGCTGCCAGGCGACCCGTCAACCGCTGAACTTCTTTGACGTTGCGTGGGGGCTCCATGTTGATGATGGCCTGAATTTTCTCGGGATTGGCCTCGATACCCCTTCGGCTGACCATGTAGCCTAAGAACTTCCCTCCCTGCACGCCGAAGGTGCACTTCTTTGGATTTAGCCGGAGGTTGAATTTTTGCATGATGGCAAAAATCTCCCGGAGGTCGTCGGCGTGAGTGCTTGCCTTCTTGCTTTTGACGATCATGTCGTCAACGTAAGCCTCCATAGTGCGTCCTAGGACAGCTTGAAAGACCCTAGCCACCATGCGCGTGTAGGTGGCGCCTGAATTTTTTAGGCCGAAGGCCATCACAAGATAGCAGAAGATGCCTTCGGGTGTCATGAAGGCAGTTTTTTCGGCGTCTTCCTCATGCATGTAGATTTGATGATATCCGCGGAATGCGTCAAGGAACGACATGATCTCGCATCCGGCGGTCTCATCCACCAATTGGTCAATGTTTGGCAAGGGAAAAGGGTCCATAGGACACGCCTTATTCAAGTCCGTGTAATCCACGCACATGCGGAAGGTAGGAGGCTTCTGTGCGAGGACTACGTTCGCTAACCAAGAAGGGTATTTCACCTCCTTAATGTGTTTGATGGAGAGGAGCATAGATACTTCCTTCTTCACGAACTCCCTTCTCTCGGCTGAGAGGGGTCTTCTCTGTTGCTGCACTGGTTTGGCCGAAGGGTCTACCGCAAGGCGGTGGGTGATGACCCTCCGGTCAATTC